GGGGGGGGGGGGCAGGGGGCACCTCCCGGAGCACAGGGACAGCCCGTGATTAGCCCGCCGGTGACATCACGCCGGGGGCTCCATTCCACCGCGAGTACAAAAAGGATCGGCGAGCCCAAGCCCGAGCCCCAAGCCGCCGCCGCGCCGCCTTCTGTCACTCGCATTTGCGCCAAGCGAAAATTTGCAGGGGAATAAGGGAATAAGCCCATTCATTTGGCTTAGAGGGCGAGGCTTGTGAAAAGGCTTAACGAACCGGCCTTGGCCGGCCTTGGCCGGCCTTGGCACGGCGCGTCCCACCCTCCTGAGCACCTCGCCAGGGACGCGAGCAGCAGCGCCGGCTGGTGTGGCTGCGGCCGGTGCAGTGTCACCCGCTGGGCGGAGTGCAAACGCATACAAGTCACACATGTCCCTGATGTACGACAAGTTCCCGTCACGCTCCACAATGTGACGTCCCCTTTCTTCGGCAAACATTAAATGAGTGCTGGAATGCCGGCGCAAATTTGAGTTTGCAGAGCGACGTAAAGCCTTTTACAAATGAGCTTTTTCCTCCCCAAGAGCACTGGCGCAGGCTGGCGCCCCGCCCCGCGGCCGGACAGTGCGCGTCCTGCAAATAGACTTTTACGAGAGCCCGGGGGACACGAGTTAATGAAGACAGTTCTTTCAGAAGCACGGCGTCGTTAAACTTCAGGCTACGCGCACAAACACACACACACACACACACACACACACACACACACACACACACACACACTCGCACGCATGCATGCATACGTCCGAGCCACGCGGTTCGTCGTCGTTCCGTCCGGTGCAGCTGCCAATCACCAATTTGGCGAAAACGGCCGCTGTGTGTGCGCTGGCGGGCGCGCTCTCCGCTGGGCGCAGCGAGCCGGGCGGTACACGTGCGCCACGCGCGCCCCTCGACTCGAGCGCCAGCTCTGTAGACACTGGCGCGGCCCGCGCACGTACAAATTGCAACTCAATAAACGGCGGCCGTTGGGTGTTGGTCGGACCAGCAGGGAGCAGGAGCAGGGCCGCCGGGGTGCCGGTGACGCTCGGCGGCCGCCCTGCCCCGCGGGCCGCGCTGCTCGGCCGGCACTAAACGCTCCCCGCGACATGGCCGGGGTCGCAAATATATGACCCGGGCGGAGGAGAAGATCAAACCGATGGCTTTATCAGATCGCGAGATCGGATCAGATCGCCAGCCAGAGGGGCGTGTCGGCCGACAGTCGGCGGCTCTTACACACGCACAGAGTTTACCGAGCCGCACAACCCGCGAGGATAGTAAAAAGGAGAGCCCTCTCGGTGAAAGAAAAATGGGGGGGAATAAAAAATGCAGCCCGATGAGGCCGACTAGAGCGACAAAATGTTACGAGACCCGCAGCGCGCGGAGGAGGAGAGCGCCTCGAGCTTCCCAAATATGTATGCATCGCGCTGGTTATTCCGCGCCGCGATATAAATATACATTTATATGGGCTTTTGAAGACAATCTCCATCTCTGCTTAATAAACGCAGCACAGAGGCGAGGACTCATTTCCAACACTTTTAATTAATCGTCCTTCTCCGAGGATGGGCAGGCCGGATTCTCTCGATTTAGATAGATAGATAGATAGATAGATAGATAGATAGATAGATAGATAGATAGATAGATAGATAGATAGATAGATAGATAGATAGATAGATAGATAGATAGATAGATAGATAGATAGATAGATAGATAGATAGATAGATAGATAGATCCACCATGCCACGTTCGCGTCATTCGTCCGCCAATTAACAATACACGCAGGGGATACGGACATTGTTGAAAGCGGGGAGACTCGCAACGGCGGCAATGCAAGAAGGCTATTTTTTGATTTATCACCCGCGCGCAAACGCAAAAACGAACAACCACGCACGCGCACGCGTGCAGTCGCCACCCAGGCCCGGCGCGGTGCGGCGGGTGCAGCCAGCGCACAAAAACGGCCCCGCCGCCCCCCTCGGCCGCTCAGCACGCGAGCGCGCTGACACGCGCGCCTCCGCGGCCGCCGCCGACGCTGCCCTCATCAAAATTGTGATGGCATAATTTTTATAAAAATGACTGACAGAGCAATTAGACGACCGCTCTCCTAAGGGGCTGTACATACAGGCCGGCGGGCGGAGGGGAAGGGGGGGGGTTGATTTGTGGCCGGCAGCGCACCGCGGGCAGCATTGTGCAGCAGGACGCCCGGCCGGCGAGCACGAGACCTCGGCGCGACACGCCGGCAAAAATAAATATCTACGGAGCCCACCGGGGGTGATGCCAAGACGGGGGGGTAATTTTTCAAATTTTCCCAGCCTACATAATCGCGCGACAGCGGCCAGCACTGCAAGCGGTGCCATACCACCGCGGGAGCAGGTGGGTGCGCAGCGAGTGCGGCCCGAGCGGACAATGTACGCATCATCTGATATAAACTGAGTGATGCTGCTCCGCACTGCTGCGGGCCCTGCCCTTATTGCATCGGTAAATACCCCCCGTGATGGACGCACTGCCGCCGCGCTGCCGCTGCGCTGCCGCGCGGGGTATCGCCGCCCCATCAGCCCCACAAGGAGGCGGCTGAATAGAGCCCCGTGGGGCGCCACGGCCGCACGGCGTTGCGTGTTGCGCCAGATTTACTCGTCGTTTACTGCTATTGAAATGTTGGGCGCCACAAACTACTGGCAGCGGAGAGTATTGCCATCTAATTTGAGCAAATCGAACCGCGGCGGCGGCCGTACAGTACACAGGAGCATGACGTCCGCGGCGGAGGGGGGAGCGAGCTGCATGCAGGCTGCAGGCCACCGACCGACTGACTCTCTGACTCAGAGACTGGGGCTCTGGACTCTGAGACTCGAAGACTCTGGACTCTAAGACTGAGAATCTAAGACTGAGAACCTGAGACTATGAGACTATGAGACTCTCTGCCTAATGTCTAAAGTATAGAACACCCAGGACCAACTTTAGGTAAAGCGAGGGCACTAACGCGTGCACCACTTGTGATCTACTTTGGGAAATGTGAGACACAGTGACCCACATTAGCTGAAGTACGGCAGTCTTACACTTGACTCCACAGTGCAAGCACAAAAATGGTCGCTTCGTTTGGTACCGGTTGTCTCTCTTGGCAATACGCCCCGCGCTGACGGGGGAAAGGCTCCCGCACAAGAAGCGGGTGCCTCTGGAGCCAGCCCCCCAGCCCCCTGCAGAGCCGCAGCCCACAAGGCCTCCTGCAGCGACCAAACCAAAAGGGATAGAAGTAACCCCGTTTGAGGTCCCCGCCCCGGAGCGGAGGTAGGCTAGGTTTTACAGGCGACGGCGGCGCGCGATGGCTGCCGGTTGGCGTCGGCCCTTGGGCGCCCCGTAGGTGCCCTGTAGGCGCCCCGTAGGCGCCCCGTAGGCGCCTCGTAGGCGCCCCGTAGGCGCCCCGTAGGCGCCTCGTAGGCGCCCCGTAGGCGCCCCGTAGGCACCCACCCCCTAAGTGCTCCGTAAGCGCCCCGCCCCGTAGGCACCCCGTAAGTGCTCCGTAAGCGCCAAGTAGGCGCCAAGTAGGCGCCCCCCCCCCCCACACACAAACACACAGGCGCCCCACGCGGCGCCTCGGAGGTGCCCACGGAGATGCCCACGGAGATGCCCGCGGAAGTGCGCGCCGAAAGCTCAGCAAAATCGACGTATCTGACCGCGACGCGACCGGGGCAAGCGCCGGGCGGTCAGCGCTGGCTGGTCGCGACGGTCGGTCGGATACGGCGATTTTGCGGAGCTCTGCCCCCCGGCCCTCGACCCGGAAATGGCACTTGACCACTCGGCCGCAGGCTAACGGCTGGGCCGGAGATGCAGACGCGCCGGTCCGGTCCGGCCGGCGCTTCAGAGCCCCCGGCGCAGCGCGAGCGCAGCGGGTAGGCCAGCCAGGCCCCCATAACACCACGCGATCAAGCGTTCCGAGAAGGCCCACAACTTCCAGGCGCGACGCGCCAAGGCGGCACGGCACAAGTGCACGCGGCGTGCCGGGGGAGGGGGGGGGGCATGTGTCCGCGTGCCCGCGTGCTAGCGCCCAGCCCAACTGTCACTTCAGCTGGCTTAGCCACGATCATCGTCGGTGTAAAGAGTCAAGCACACTCGTGTTTAAATCGTGGCCTGGCCTGGCTACTGAGTTTCTACAGGTACACTGCGACATGCCCCGATAGCCCGTGGCTAATCTACCCACAACTACTTCAGACTTCAGACCTCCACGCTACGAACGGAACTGACGCGTCGACGGCCGGTTCGATTGCTGTGTCAAACAAGTTGCCTACCCCGCACGGCGCTCGACCATACGATGACAGATCTCTACTCACCCTTAATCGATGATCCGAGACAGTCCAGACGCGCGTCGCGAAGTCGTTGGAGGCACCCAGGATGAGACTCCCCGTCGAGTCGAAATCGATTGACATGACGGCTGCGTTGCTGCCCACGAGCACTCCCTTACTCTCGTGCTGTCCTCCTGCGTTTAAGATGGAAAGGTGTTCTTAGGTACCATACACCCTCCAATGAGCCCAGCACACATTACAATGAATTAATGCCCTTACCTTTGGAAATATCCCATAGCTTCACTTTACGGTCCGCCCCTCCAGTGGCAACTAATCGTTCGAGCGAACTCCATTTCACAGCATTAATTTCTTGGTCATGGGCCTCCTGCGATGGGGGAGGGGGGGGGGGAGAGATTTTTAAAAAGTTATGAACGTGGTTCTCAAAATCAAAGTTACATTCAATTCACAAAAGTAACTTACAAACTTGCTAATGGCCTTGGACGGAACATTAGATGCAAAAAATGGGTTCGCACCAAGATCTCCCCTATCACCAAAAGTACTTTCAGGAGAAACGGCACGCGATTCCTTTGCTGCGTCTTCAAGTTCTTTTTGAACCTTGGCCTGTTTTTTCCTGAAACAAAAAGGAAATAACAGACATTTAAAATTAAATAGCAATTTCTGATTGAAAATGTTTAGCTTATTATACCTCCACCTCTGGAAATGAAATATACAGCATTCCTTGGACCTGATTAAGAGAAGTAAACCTCAAAAAATTCCCACAAACACAAGACAACAAAGGCTCAGCTAGATATGCAGAGTTGTACCCATGGATGCACGAACTTCAACCCGAAAGCAGCAGGGAGAGGAACCATGAACCTTAAACCATGCTAACAGAAAATCAATCACAAGGAAAGAAGTGACCGTCTGAGACACGGATGGTAGTGTTTGTGAGCCATTTCCAGATAACCCCTAGAGAAGTGACTTGAATTTTCACACGAGCTAGGAATGGACAATATCAAAGCAGTGTAGTAAATTGCTTACTCACCTACTAAACAGACCATCAATGGTATGTAAGAGAGAAGAAGTTGTATTATGGCTCCCACCACTGCAAAAAGATTGTTTTGCATTGTGTGCTGAATTTTTAGGTTTACATTGTACTATGCTGTACAATATTCTTTCCCAAAGTGCAGCGTACTTTTTGTTAGAGTCTTAACAAGATGAGAAATTACCCAAGCATTCCCCAACTACAGGAGTATTGTCAGTTTGGTTCAGTTGCTGGTTTCAAAAAGATGTGATACTCAAAACACAATGCTCCACACAAGTGCAACAAAACTACAACAGAGTTAAGAAGAACCTTCTCGACAAGAAATGCTCTACTACAGCATTCTTCCCAGCAAAAAGCAAATTAGATGCAAACCACGATGATCTGCATCGTGTTCCAAACCTAGCACTGTGTAAAAAAAAAAATTATTCCCTATGGACATTTAACTTTGCAGTGTCTCGTATACCACAAAATATTCAATTCTATTGAATTACACAAACATAAACTAAAATAAGCCATGCCCTTTAACAAAACCCAAATAAATGCAAACAGAAAAATCAATTAGGTATCAGAAAACCAAGGGCAGAGAAGATATATAATTTCATTAAACTCAACAAAAACAATTGCAGATTTTATTTTATGAATTTAGCTACATCAAACAGTTAATCTAAAGGTGTAGGAGTAAGAGATGTGCTAACTCTAAGAACAGTTATGATTATGTTCTATGGTTAAGATATCCAAACAAAACTACAATGAAGAGGAACAACTTCAATTGAGAATGACAAAACATGCTTCATGCAATCATACTTATAAAACGTACCTCAGAAAGTTTTCATTGTCCTCATTCATTTTGTCAGCATCTTTAGACTTGTAGCGAACAAGGCGCTCAACAAGAAGCCTATTTTCATCCTGTCAAAAAAAAAAAATGAAATATACATATACAGTACTATCACAACCATACAGAGAAACTGACAACATGTGCATATCTCAGGATATAATGTGGCTGATAACTCAAACCTGAGTTTTACGGAGCTTTTCTTCTAGGGCAGCAAAGGCTAGTTGGTTAGCTTGATATTCATCACGAATTATCTGATTTAAATTTTCAAGTTTCTTGATGTTTGTTTGATAATCCTGTATGTCCCTTTTAAGAGAGCTGTTTTCAGCCTGGCATTCTGAAAAGCTGAATAGACGCGATTACCAGTAACTTGTCAGAATCAACTTGCATGTTTTACAATAGCCACAAAAATAATTGAACTTGTCATACCTTGCTTCCTTAGATTGCAACTGCCGCTCTTTCTCTTGAAGCTTTAAATTCAAATCAACTAGCTGCTGAGCATTTTCACCTTTTCTGCGATGCATTTCTGTCAGCTCCTCTTGTAGACTGAGGAGTTTCTGTTCCAGTACCTGTACCTTTTCATTCCTATTCGGACTTTTGCTTGATCCATTGCCACTATTGTCGCTTGAGGCCTTATCAGTAGAAGCGCTGTGCTCGAGCCGTAACTTCTCATTCTGAACTGATAATTGCAGATTTTCGGCACGGAGAGCGTTGGAGCTTTCAAAAAGTCGGTTATCTACATAAGAAAACAAGAAATTTAAAAATCTCACCAACTCTTCAAAAAAATAAAAGGTAGGGTATAATAGGATCAGGAGATGACATATGTTGAATTGTGCATCAAAGCACCACAAGTTTAGAAGGTGTCAACAAGTTTCTCTAGACAGTTCATAAACAAACAAGAAGTGTTACATAAAATTATATCCAGGTGAATCACGGCGAGCTCAAACAATCGAAATCAATCGGGGTATTTTAATATAAATGAATGGATTTGATGATTTTGAGGAGGCAGATGCAATTGCGGAGAGAAATAATCTTTCGTGACTAGTGATCCATTATATTTAAACCCCTATGATTGACACACAGGGCATGACATAAGTGGACTGATAAACTTGTTCTTGTGATGTTTTCTACGAAACCTGACATAGAGTTGTAGGTTATGTGACCTTGTCATCGTAAATAACAGAACATAACAAGTATGAGTCATGGAAATACTTACGAAAAGCTATAAGATCTTTAAATGCGTAGCTTTCAGATTTATTTCTATTTTGTAAACGGAGAATCAGCGTACTTCGCCAAAATTGGCCATCAACAGGCGTTGTTGAGGCAGCCATGCTTGTTTTGTTCTGGACTCTCTGGATTCAGTTACGACCAGCAGTTACACCACCATCTGGGGGAATGTTGAGGAGTGCAATGAATGAGTGCTAGCATATGAGAAGCTAGTGGGAAAAATATGGACAGAAAACTAACTCGATTTGACTCATTCAAGACTCCGAAAAGTGGTTCAGAATAGTTCAATTCAGCATAGGGAAAGTGTCTTGACAAAATGTGTATATTTTCAAGATTAGAGCTGGGCCTCTTCTTCTTGGCTTTTACTTGTTCCCCTTCCTCCCTCTGAATGAACCCTAAAGAGCAGACAACATCTGCGCCTTCCGACACGAGACTGTATCAAGCTAGGCTTCCCGCCATAGTTTGAATGTTGTGTAATTTTGTGTTTGTGGTTTTAGTCAGTTTTAGTATTTTCTCAAGTTTTAGGTTTGTTTTTTTTTAATTGCAGATTGTGGTTGACAATAAAGTGATTGGAAAGAAATCGTGAAAAGTCAGTATGTAGCACACACGCTATAAATTTATTTCAGGTTTGTTGGAACAGTACTCTGAAAAGAATTATTCTGGCAGTATAAATGCAAGAAAAATACACTATTCAGATGTGGACAAGTTTAGAGTGCCAAAATATATTACACTTTAACAAACAACAATCTCAATAAATAAAAATGACAATTTTGTCAATTTTAAAGGCAGTTAAGCAACTCTTAGCAACTTTAAAGAACCTGTTGTGTTTCCAGTAAGTATATTATATAACAAAGTAATTGCTTTTTTCCCCTTTTTATTCTAAATATGTCTTAGAGTAGATATTACAGCCAGTGTAAAATTTCTGTACATATGACAGATTGAGTGGTAGTGATTTTACTAGAGCTTTGTCATTCAAAAAAGTCTACACGGACCTTAAAAACCACCTACCTAGAAATTCAGCAGTCATAACAAAAAAAAAACGATGTGCAGCAATCAGGATTGAGAGTGCATGTTGCAAAAAGAAACAACCACAACATACATTTAACCAGTTAGGAAACCACAGCGAAGTATAGGAAATGATGGATAAAATTAGTAGTTGTTTTCCTTTCTTTTTTTTTTAGAAGAACTTCATCCCTCCATCTTTGGCTTTTTGTAGTAAGACTATGATCCGAAACTCTTTTCTGACAATATGTACACCAACAGATTTTATTTCATTTTCCCCTTTTTCCACTTATTAGAAACTAGTGTAAAGCCATAAAAGGAAAGGTACTTACAAATGTTCAAAAAGAATTAATAGGTTTCTACCTCAACAAAGTTCTTAAATGGCAAACAAAACATTAATGAAGTGAAAGAGGTACAATTTGAAAGGAAGGGGGAAAGAGCATCAAAATACAAAAACAAGCAGAACTAAAAATAAAATATTAATAAACCTAGTATTAGGAATTTACTTTTTCATTGATAAGGCCACAGCACTAAAGTAATAATGTAATGATCCATTTTACAATTCCTTCCCTCTGACTTAACTTTGTGTGGCCAAAACCAAATACATACAGGGCATATATGACTCCTGATATTTGAAATGCAGTATCAATACATTGTCTGATTTGACTCTGCAGTAAGCAAGATGTATGGTCCAGAAATTGAATTATCAACATGCTGTCTAGACTAGACTAGAAATAAAAAGGTGAGCAGAGGCATACTTACTTCCAGTACAGAGAAGAAAGAGCTTTTAAAAGAACTTTTAAGACAGTAATGTACCTACAATAACAACCTTATAAAATGACCACCAGGATTCACCTCGCAAAGACTACAGAAAAATGCACATGCATATGCCCTCAATTTTAGATTAGGACTAATTCACTCAGCTCATTACAAGACAAAAAAAAAATCCTTTGACGTAACAAGCAGAAACAGATCACATAGAGATAATATATCAAGTTTTGAAGTATGCAATTTAAAGGCAGTAAAGGTAGCATTAACATACAATTAAAAAAAAAAAAGAAAGAAAAAAAAAACAAGAGCCATTTAAAGTGGAAATTCAGTCTTGTAAATTATACATTGTGGTATGTATTTGTTGATTTTCAACAACATTGTCCACTGATCAGACTTCTATGTGAAGATTATTTCTGGTCGGAGACTAAAATTTGCTGACAGGAACTTTCAGAAACTTTTTAAGTTAACAAGTCAGCCAAAACACTATTCCCAATTGTGGCATTGGCATTGTTATCTTTTAAAATAATCAAAAATCACATATCATTTTAATAATTGGGAAATATGTTAACTTTTACAATAAAAAGTCATGCATAAATGAAAATAAGGGATGTGCTAATAACTGATAGTAAAAGAGCGATCCTGAGAAAGAACAACCCTTTCCTCAAGGAGCAATACACATTAAGAATATAGATACAAGAACAAATAGTACCTGTTCTGGTCTGAGACAACCATTATGATATATACTTGGAACTTAAGTAATAGAGGACAAAAGTCATGTATACCATATAAACAAGGTTTGTAATACATTGCAGTTGGCAATGGATGAGTTTCACACCAAGTGTTGAATAAGGCCCATAAGATAGCTTACGATGGAGTTTTAGTAAAACACTTAACCAAACCATGACAATGGAGTGCTGGACATCACGTCTTATGATCACAAATTAGAGATTAAACACAATTGAAATAAAGATAGTAACAGAACTGTTCCATTCAATAGTTTTTGTAAGAGGAACAATCAACATGTTGAGCAGTCACAAATTGGCAGTAGACTGTAGCTCTCGGTTGTCATAATAAATGTCAAAAATGATAAAGATATCAACTGTGACATCATCCTAAAGAATATGAAAATATTACATTACATAATACATATCAACAGACACACACACTCGTGTAAATGTGCACATACACCCTTATACCAGTGCATGTACACACATTTAACACATTAGATAAAAATTTCTAATATGCTATTTAATTGTGGTGCAACTTCTTTTGACTAATATGCCAAAGGCATAGGAATTAAATGAAAGCATCAATATGCTTCATTGGCAGTGTGAAGAATAGAACACATGTGAATAGACTATCACACAACCAAGCCATCATCAAGTCACCTAAAATTTGACAATTCAAATATTTATACTCCAAGTCATACTATTCCGAAACAGGAACTTTGCAAAGCGCTAGCTAGCAAGTCCTTTTTGGGTTAGTGCCTGAATAGCATTTGATTCTGAGCTTTGGTTGCTAGAAAATGATTTTCTTCGTAGTAACACCAGGCCAGCTTCTGTAGTAGCAGTTGAATCTGTTGAAATGGACTTCCTCCTTTGTGTTCCACAATCGCCTTGGCTTGTTGATGGTCCAATAGGACATTGCCCAAGACTAGACTTTCGTTTAGCATCACTATTTGTGCAAGACAGTGATACTTTACTGCTACCAGGTAATGCAACAACTTCAGATATTGAAACCATTTCTACTGTGCAATTAGATGAGAGCTTTCCATCAGATGAGGGAGAGACACCATTAGTGGCAGGCTTCTTCTTCATGTCCCCATTTATGGCAGCTGTGTTACCAGCACTGCTATTAGTATTACTAGTACTAACAGCAGGAAGTGAGAGGCGCTTCTTTGAATCAACTGAAACATGTGTCGGGAGGCCCTTGGTAACATTTGATGGTACAGTCAGCCCATTGACTGATGGAGCATTCTTTTTAACGTCTGAGTTTAAAGAAGTTGACGAATTTGATCCACCAGTAGAATTCATTTTTCTCTTCAGGTCATTATTTGTACTAGCATTTTGAGAGGAGACGGCCTGAGGTTTACCATTAGGTTGGGACACAATAATTTTTTTCTTGGTGGGAGGTTCACTTGATACAGTATCCATACTTTTTGACAGTTTCAAAGACGGAGTGTCTACTGGAGAGGACCTGCTTAACGACGGGATTTTCCGTCTCACTGAATCAACAGATTCAGATGAAGGTTGACAAATTCTAGGTGGACCAACTTCAGATGTAGATCTGCTTGTGGACGAGGTTTTCTGATGAGTACTGTTATTAGCATTCACAAGTCCATTCTTAGGTACAAATGACTTCTTCTTTTCAGGCTCTGTACCATTCTGCACAGTTTTCTTCTTGTTAATTGAATCCCCCGATGAGGAACCCGATGATGTCGATGAACTACTCTTTTGGTTTTCCATTTTCGAGGTTTCCTCTTCTTCCTCCTCATCCTCATCCTCCTCCTCATCCTCTTCATCTTCGTCCTCCTCATCCTCATCATCATCTTGTTGCTGAGTAGTACGCCTACTAGGACTGTCACTTTTGAAAGAACCTGGGCTGTACAATTTGCGGCGAACACTTGGATCGACATTTAGCACAGTTGGGGCTTGGTTCTTAAAATGTGAAGGAGTATTTTGTTTTTCTTTGGCACCAGACTTTATCCAATGTTCCTTCTGCGCCTCCCATGAACTCCGCATAGATTTAGCATGGGATTCGTTGATCATTTCATGAAGCTGTTGAATCGTTTTGTAGAGTACAACAGGGCTAACCAATCCGTAATCGAATAAACTACACATGTGAATTATAAAATTTCTGTATAAATTTTTGTCTAATAACTCTTTTCCTTTTTTCTCAAGGAACTTGGCACAAGCCAAAGGCACTTGACAGTCACCCACATACCTATAAAATCACAAAATAAATAGTACCAGAATTATAAAAAATAAAACATGTGACTTAGAAATAACAGCCTATGAACTGAGTGTCTAAGGACTGCGTGTGAAACTTACCCTTCTTTCATCACATGCAAATTCCACATCTTCATCAACTCTTTTTCTCCTTCATTAACATCAGTAAATTCATCAATCATCATCATAGCTTTAGTCTGCAACCATTTAGGATCATTTTCACCTTCAGAGTCATTCTCCATTTCCTTGGGATGGACAGGTAGGCATGTCACAGTATGGTGGTACAATCTACAAATTAAGATGAGTATGAACACTTCATTTTCACTTGTGTCCTTAAATTTATTTCTGCAAGACTTCAAGTGCCAACCTGTTGTGCCCAGTGATGAAAGATCTCTGCAGATCACCTGATTCTTCTTCAAGTTCCATGAACTCTGACATAGTAGGCTTTAGACGTTTGGGATGACAAACTAAAATATTTGATACAGTGGTTCGAATTTGAGGTCCATTACGAGAAAAAGCTGATCCTCCTGGCTGGGCTATTACATCATGAGGAGAGCCTGTATATGACCCATCATATGACTCATTGATTGCCACATCAATTCGTGCCATATTTGGAAGTGGCTGAGGTGAAAAATTTGTTAAACAAAGGTGTTTGAAAAGACAAACCAGAATGAGTTAAAACACAAAAATTTGCAATAAAACTTACAGTATAAGTAAAAGTAAACCGTGCATGACATAGTTTTAAATGTTTCAGTAGGGAGTACAAGGTTCCACAATCCAACGAGCACCATGGGCAGTGTAAATCAGAACAGGGCTCAGTCTGCTGTCGTGAATTGTTGTGGTAGTGGAACTGGTACACAATCACAGGTCTCTTTCCAAGCTTTTTATCTTCATCTTTCTTTTCCCCTACTTGTTTCTTAGCAGCTCGGTCTGTGAAAGCGAACAGAGGAAAAAGCAATCAATAATTAAAAAAGATGGAAAAACAGAAAAATGAGCAATATTTCAACTCTCCACTCACCTTGACGATTTTCTTTATTACCATTGTTATCAAGGACGACTTCTTCCCGCTTTGACGCCGTGCGAGGACGATCAACAAAAGTGCTCCGTTGTTCCCGAGACCACTCTAACTTGAACTTCAAAGTTGGTCCATTTGCAAACAGCTCAAAGGAGTTACAATCCTGCGGAGTCAAGACACGCTGTCAGCGCATATGCCACAGCTGATTAATATTTGTTTGCTTTTAACACACTCACACAGCAGTCTCACAGCACAAGGGTACAACACAGGATATAATACAGACATCTTTAAGCCCAGAAAGCAATTAGGCAGTGGAAGGTACAAATTTCTGATAATAAGCTGAAAGGCAACCAAAAAAGTTATTTACATTGAAAGCCATTAACATTTCATTCCAGCAGATGCTCTGACTGAACACACAAGTTTCTGTATGTTATGTGAACATCATAGGGAATAAATGAATAATGAATTGGAAGATCTAGGGTCCTCGCATTTGTGAACATGATAAGAAGTAGTTCATTAAATTAAGAGTAGACATCAACAGTGCAAAGTTCAAAGCGCTGTGCAAAGCCAATTTGCTGGAAAGATAAAAGCAAAGCAGAAAAATGGTACACCCAGGGAAAAAAAGTTATAACTGACTTGAAGTATGTAACCTGGCACCAGAGGATTTTAGTCAAATGAGATATGTTAATTAACTTAAAAGTGACAACAAGGTGGTAGTAGGCAACTTCACTCAACCTTCCAAATTAGAAAATTTCTTACATAACAGATCTTTCATTGAATTGACTACAGAGGTAAAGTGATGCTCTAAATTTGAAGTTAAATGACTATGGCAATGAAGCATTTCAAAAATATTTCAATGGAGATGGAATTTGACAAAAAACCAAAGGCATTATCCAGGACGACTCAGTCCAGCAACTGTACAGATATGTACATAATGCACATTCATTGCCTTGTGAGTGGGTGAAGGTTTGGTGGCACAATCAGCATTGGCTGAATTGGCACTTACCATAAACTCTGTTACTGCGAATTCTCGCAGACGCTGCAGAGGTGCAAGCTAGGTGGGCAAATTAAACATAACTTTGATCTACATATAAACTTTCTTCTCAAGACACCATCACATACTTCATAAGTCTTTAAACCCACAACAACCCATAGGAAAAATTAGAAATTCTTTAAAACTTCAAGGTTTAAGTAGGACCCCAGAAAGAACAATCTGATTTATTACCAAAAAATCATACCATCACAAAAAACAAGTAGTGCTTTCTACCTGAAATAAGATTTAACACACTACCCACATAATTTACATTAAATTCCCACTCAAACATGACATAGTTTTACACAACTCTTAGATATGAGCTAACTAAATTACAACAATGCTGTAAAAAAATGAGGTAAATGCAAAATAAAATTCTCAAGTTTAATAAAGAAAAGCAACAAGTTCAGATACATTTAATTAAAATGGTACTTCCTGTCTTTCCATGGTTGTTCCCCCCCTAACTGTTCTCTTTCTTTAGACATGTAGGAGGAGATAGTGTAAAGGGGTTTAAGGATAAGACAATAATGGTTGGGGAACAAATATTGTTTTCTACTAGCCTCAAAAATGACAACAGCATGTAGGTGAACAACCCCGAATGTCAAGAATCCAATAGACAGCAAACACACACAAACCAAATATGACAATTTCAACTAAGACAATGTAGCTTACCTCACTTATGTCTCCAATTTGCTCCCATGAAGGAAACTTCCTGGGCAAATTTCTAGGATGAACAAGCTCATCCATCAAAAGTTCATAATCACCGTCACCCAGCAGACAGTGTTTCTGTTTGTCATAGACCACAAGGTCTGTCCCAAATAACTTGATTTCATCGCGACTTGATGAGGTCCTCCTCCTCTTTGGAAGAGGCTCACCTAAAAATAATAGAATATGTGCATTTAGGAAAATCAGTATGAGCGAAATGGACATATGTTAAGACTTAACAAAATATTACCTAAGTCTTGTTCACTACTAGTAGTACCATTCAAACCATTATTAGGAGCATTGTAAACTCGCAAAAGAAGGTGGTACGATTTAACTTCACTCTGGTCCTCACAAAACTCGTCAACTGATATGGAAACAGTAGGTGCTTTGGGTGGGGGACAATCCTCTGAAGGATTAGTTGGGACTATGCTTGTTCCAACTGTCACCTATAAAATTTAGAAAGATTGAAATTAAGTGTTATTATATGACAGAGCTTCAAAAATTTTAGGTAAAGAGGATGAGTAGCTTACTGTCATAACTGGAGTTGTAGTGTCTTTTCTCTTTTTGTGACATATCTTCAAAAGAAGTGTTTCAACTTTCACTGGTTCTCTAGGAACCTCACCTGTGGCTGTAAATTTAAAAAGAATATAAAATAAGAACAGGAATTTAAGCAGAACAGAAATGCAAATAAAAATGAATTTATACAGACCAGGCTTCTTGTCATAAAATCCAAGAAAAGTAAGGGTCATAAAACCGCCTCTCAAAGCAGGAGGAATTAGACTTTTTGAAACTTTTTCCAGAAGGCTATTAACCTCATAAGATTGACGACTTCTGTGGGTCCTTGACATGCGGTATCGCATGTAGCTCAGATTGCGTTGTAAAAATATTGGCTGTATTGAGATTCAAAAGTCAGTTTACAAAGTTGTTGACCGATACTAAAATGCCCACAGAAAAATGAATTAAGTCATACTCACAGAATTTGCATTTCGAACTCTAAGATACCTATAAATTTGTGTTGGTTCTGTAAGAAAAATTGAATTAAGTGTAAATTAAAAGCAACATTTAAGTGATAAGGAAAGGTGGATGCAAAATTTATCTAAATGAAATCCATTATTTATAATAATGGATTATTATTTAGAATAATTTTGCCATAGCAACCGTAGCACAAATCTTGAATGTAAACAGCAAAATAAACAAGTCATTCTTATTTACTAATTGGAGAAAATTCTTAAGATTTACTTCATAATAGAAGGCCCATAGGATACATAATAAAATTAGCCGCACAAACAGAAATATTGTTTTGTAAGATAGTTAAGAGAGACAACACTTAAAACAGCAGAAAAATGCATGCCCTTTTAATCCATTGTGGAATCCGGGAAGCAAAGGGTGCCATAACCTGTACATAAGTGGAGGGAACTGGCCTTCTAAGCTCGGAAGCCCTTTCTCCCTCATATATGTTAAGTTTTAGGGGACCAAAATAAGGAACTACTAACTGATCCACAAGTATCCTGCAAAGGGTGAGGATAGGGGGAGTCCAGTGAGGCGTTAGAATAAATCTATTTCATCCAATTTATTTGACAACAACTGTTTACTATTCGTGCCGAGCCTTGGGTTGATGGCAGTGGCAATGGCCGGGCATAGCGGCTACCTACAAACTAAATCGTGTCGATTCAAAGGTACTTACTTTCAAATGCTTGAAGAAACAAGTCATGGTCTGTTTTGGCAGCTTCCGATCGCTGATTTTTTGAAGTTTCGCCTTCTTTATCACGCTTTTTCGGGGGCATAGTTGACGCAAAAACTCTGTTTTTCTGTCTACACAACACACCCTTGGCCCGCGAAGCCAGGAGTGTGTCCGAATTCAGCCACCGACCGAGCACCGACCGGTCGGTGGTCGAGCGGTCGGTCGTCGAGCGGCCGGTCGCGAGCCGCTCCAAGCAGCAATGCCAACCGCGAACCACGAAGTCCTTTCGCTGGGGATGGTTGCGGATCGCGACTACCCCCGCGGAGGACCCGCGGCGGACCCGCGACGATCCTCCGCGTAAGACTCGCGCCCTACGATCATCCCCCGCGAAAGGATTTCGCGGTTCGCGGTTAACCCAATGTGGACAGGGTGGCATAGCTGCTTGGAGCGAGTGGCTCGCCACGGCCCGGCCACCGACCGCTCGACGACCGACCGGTCGGTGCTCGGTCGGTGGCTGAATTCGGACACACTCCAGGATGCTCGCCGTTGGCCGAAGTTTACTTTGATATACAGGTTGGCCAACTCCTTACGAAAAGAATACGCTTTGCTGTCAGTCTATTTTTGGCCCATTTCATCTTAAATAGCGAAATCGAACACACCAACACTGAAATAAAACGTTCTTTTTCTACTAAAATCAAAAATATTGGTTAAAATGACAACTCAAATATAGGTTTTATGTTTCAAGTGTTGCCTTCTTATCTTCTTAAAGAAAAATGGCTTCCTCTAGCGGTCAGCTGTTGTAACTAACGTTTTGTTTAGAAGGAAGGCAAAAGTTGTATCTTCGGGAGTATAGTCCGTCTTAATCTTTCTCGTCAATGGGATCCATCATAAGAGCAACGTATCGTCCTGGAGATCTGTTGTAATGTCACGACATAATCAAACAGCACAAGTTGCACGTTTCATTAATTAATGTAATGAAATTTTTAAAAAATAAGCACTTTGTTGTACAGTGTATGGTGCACTCTTACACCTTGTAGCACGTCCCACCATATGGCAATCGCACATCTCATAAACGGACCTGACACTTCTGCACAAACTTTAAAACTAAGAGAAACATAATTTATTCAAAACTATCACCGTAATTACTCATTTTCCTACTCCCAACACATGCACGGCACAGCCGATGCCGATACCCGTCGTATCAGCACGTATCAGGTAGACTGTAAGCGCTAGGTTCCCACCAGCGTGGGCCACGATGGACATGAAAACGTTCTCTCGCCCGGACACTTGGGCGCTTTGGGGCGGGCCGCCGGCAGCACACAGGGGCTCGGCGGGTTGGCCTTTCCCGCAGCGTCCAGCGTCTCCTTGTGAAACGCTCATTGTGGGGACAACTGTACTGGCACATACGACTTAACGCCCTTGTTCGTGTCTTTTTAGGAGAGAAAATGTTCGAATATTCGATGAAAACGACGTAGATGTGACGCCCTTACCCCTTGTGTTCAATGGATTCGACGACGAAGAAGATGAGGAGGAGGATGCGATTGTCGATCTCACTTTTCAAGATACTGAACAGGCAAGGACGCTTATAACCGATAATAACCGAGAGTCCTACAGACACAGACCCCTATCTCCTATGTGTCGAGTGTAAAGGCTAATGCTCCCCAGGGTTGCGGGTTCGCATATCCAATAAGGGGCACTACGGGCAGATCGGGTTTGTAAACCCGCAACACTGTGGTGTGTTGCCTTTACAGGCGGTACTGTGCGGGCGGGTGGCCTCGCTTGCGGTCCATACGCCGTTGGTCTCTCAAAACCCATCCCATCAGCACGCCTGACATGAGGTCTGCTACCTGGGGTCATCATGCCCGGTTCTAAAAATATTCGTAAAGTAAAAAACTTATGATAGTAACATAGCGTGTTGATGATTGATTACTACAGGTCGTACGAACAACCACCGAAAGCTATATCGCGGCGCTCCCAGAGGATCGCACTCCGACCCCATCCTCCGGGGCCGGCGCCTCGGCGGCCGGGTCGGGGCATCGTACTGAGGGTAGCAGCCAGGGGGGCGGGGAGGACGGTGGCGAGGAAGACGCCGAGGAGGGTGACATTGACGACACGGCGTCTACGCCGCCTCCTCGGATCCCCACGCCCATCCTGCAGGCGCTGCAGGCCATCCGACACTACAAGCCGGCGCCGGAGCCGCGCACCACCTACTTCCTCGCGGAGACGCCCACGTTCTGGCTGTTCGAGCTGCCCAGCAAGTGTCTGCCGTGGAACGGGCCGGACGCCGGTGACGAGGCCGCGCAGTCCCGCCGCGAGGACGGCCACTACTTCTGGCTGACGTACGCCGAGGGCCGACTGCGGCACCGCCACGACGCCGAGGCCCAGACGCCTGTCACGCTCACCAAGAAGCAGCGCACCCAGACCCTGGCCGTGCACAGCAGCACGGTTCAGCTGTTCGCCACCGAGTGGGACCTCTATGACACATTTCGCAAGGCAAGTGCCCCGGCGTCCGCCCATGCCCCGGCCTGCAGCCGCTCCTTACCTGACAAGTGCCTCTCGCTTGTCCACAGGTGAACATTGCCAGCAGGTTGGCGGGCCGCGGGCCCGCCCGCTCCAACGCCATCGTCCCCAAGGGAGAGGCCACGACGGCGCACTCGGCGAGGTCCATTGGTGTCTCAACCACGACCGCGGCTGACGACGCGGCCAGAGCGCGGAACGGCTGGGCACGGCTGGCGGCGGCCACGGCGAGAGAGGCAGCCAGCCGCACCACCATCATCCGCATCGGCGAGCAGCCCGTGTCCCCGCGCCGCCGCCTGCTCCGCTCCAGCCAGGACCTGCTCGAGTCCAGGGAGTTCCGCCTCGCTGCCACCATCTGCGAGCGCCTTCTCGCGTCCAACAGCTACCGCCGTAGGCAGGTGCGAGGGTGGAGGCTTGGCGCAGGCGCCAGGTGGGGCTGCCTATGGTAGGTGGTAGGTGATCTCCGTCTCCGTCACCTCTGCCTGTCCGCAGGAGATCTTCATCGGCCACCCCCGTCTGCTGACGCGCCAGAAGCCGTCCGAGTTTCGGTACACCGTGACGCGCCTGTTCGAGCTGTACAACCAGGACACGCAGGGGCTTCCTGTCACCGGTGTGGCGTGGAACGGCAAGGACAACACCATCCTGGCGGCCGGCTATGGCTGCTACCTCCTATCCGACAGCAGCCGCACCGGTCTCGTCTGCTGCTGGAGCATCAAGAATCCCTTTCAGCCCGAGCGCATCTACAGGCTCGATAGGTGGGTCGCTATGTCTAGCGCAGCTGGGAGAACCACACATGCGCGTGTTGTAGTGTGACTTTTCATCAACGAGCTCTTCTTGCAGCGCCGTCACGGCCCTGAACTTCTCGTCCGAGAGGCCCAACCTGCTGGCGGTGGGCGTGCAGTCCGGGCTGGTGTACATCGTGGACGTGTCCCTGTACGCGAGCGACCCGCGCGCCGTGCGCCAGCTGCGCAGCGACAAGGCCCCCATGGCGTACGCGCCGCTGTGGGACGTGCAGTGGTTCACCTACACCGACTTCGTGGCGAGCACCGAGGAGGTGTTGACGGTGGGCGATGACGGCTGGGTGTGCAAGTGGAACCTGGACCGCGACTGGGAGTCGTACCCACTGTGCCGCGTGCAGTACTACCCGGAGCGCGAGGACTTGCTGCGCCGAGCCGACCCGGCCGCCTGTGAGGTGCGGGTTCTGTCCGCGTTGTGCGTCACCCTGTTGCCCGGCACGCGCTACCTGGTCGCCACCAAGGACGGCGTGGTGGCCGAGTGCCACGTACACCAGCGCGCCAGCAGGCCCACGCTCACCACGGCGCACGCCGGCCCCATCTACGCCATCCGGCGCTCGCCCTTCTGCGGCAACCTGTACCTGACGGCGGGTGCGGACTGGACGGCGTGCCTGTGGTTGCGCGGCTGGGACGAGCCTCTCGTCAAGCTCAACAGTCCGCAAAACGCTGCCGTGGAGGCGGCCGCTTGGTCGCCGTCGCACGCCACCCTCATCGCCACGGTGTCGGGCAGGGAGTTGCAGGTGTGGGACGTCGGCAGGCGCGCTGCCTCCGCCCGCCCCGTGGCCGTGGTGCCAAACGAGCGCTCCGTGCGCTACACCAGGGTGGACTGGGCGCGCGACGGGCTTAGCCTGCTGTCCGGGGACCGCGCGGGTCATGTGTGGGTGCACCACCTGGGGGAGCTGCCCCATCGGCCGCGCCTGGCCCGGGAGGCGCTGGTCGCCGCGCTCAGCCCGCTGGTCCCGCCACACCGCCGGCCCCTGCTGAGGGAAAAGCTGCTGAGTGACGACTGACCGACCCGGCCATCTGTCCCACACCCCAAACCCCGTTCAGTGTAAGACTTGGAGTAAAATTAAATATTGTCGTGAAAACCATGGAAACAAAGTAGAATTGCGTTTTGTTGGCACCAAATTCTCTGTAAATTACTTTTCATACGCGACATGTTAATGCTCGGGAGGAGCAACATGTTTGCCTCGGCACTGCTGTTGAGTGGAAGAGCAGTCGATGCACTTCACCGCGCTGGGGCTGTGAGGCTGAAGCATTGCATCCGTTCACTCTTCCCGCCTCTGCATTGGTGGGTTTGGGTAGCAAGCGATTACAACCGCAAGCTGTTGAGCCCCATTCCCTCGCCTCTACAACCTCTCTTTTGATCCAACTTGCAGCCAGGGCGGCTCCGACTCGAACGACCTCCTAGACCCGCACTGCAAGGTGGCGCTCGTCACCGAGGGAACGACCAACGTCGGCTTCGGCGTGGCGCAGGAGCTGCTGTGCCAGGGCGCCGAGGTACAGCGAAAGTGACGAGCAGAGGATCTCTGAGATTGAGATGGATGCGAAGAAACCCATGGGCAGATGGCGAGTGACCTCGCGTGCGACAGACCGTGGTCATCACCGGGACGCACTGCGAGGCGGGCTTGGAGGCGGCCGGGAAGCTGTGCTCGCACCACGGCTCGGACAGGGCCGTGTTCATGCAGGCGGACACGTCCTGCTCCAGGCAGTTCCAAGGCACGTGCAGCTCACCCGAGGCCGAAAGTGGGCCTGCGTCTCGCATACCTACCTAATCGTGAACGACAGACGTGTTCAAGGAGACCATCAGGCGGTACGGCGGCGTCGACATCATGTTCAACAACCCGCGCCTGCTGGGCGCCGCTGGGGACTGGGAGCAGGACGTCAACGTGAACCTGGTGAGAGGCGCCGCGTGCCTTGGGTGTGTCTTTGACGTGCTGAGCGGACGGGCGAGCGCTGGGCGCCTGAGTGGCAGGCACGCCCGCCGTGCGCGCCAGCAGACGGTCGTGCCTATCCACCCGGCGCTCGAGACCAGCCCGTCCTGTTGGCGCGGCCCAGACCAACGTCCTCAGGGGCTGCGTGCTGGCCATGGCGTTCATGGGGCGCGACCGCGGCTACTGCGGGGGCGTGGTGGTGAACAACGCGGGGGTGGAGGGGCTTCAGCCGTTCGCAGCCTCCCCCGCCCACTGCGCGGCGGAGCACGGCGTCGTAGGCGCCACGAGAAGTTTCCAGGCAAGCGAGGGGCGAGGACAGGGGGCACTCTGGCTTCGTCTCATCGGTATTCCCTGTTCAGACTGATGGATTTGCGACCGCGATCGCTATTGGTTGTCGGGCTCGTACTAGCCTTTTACGATGGTATCATGAACGCTGATTTTCTGATCCGTTTTCCTAGTGAAACAGATGGAGTTGCTCAGTCGCAAAATTCTTCCAGTCTTCAAGTTGCATCGGGGGAATATCGTAATCACCATTTCGTTCTGAACAGGGCCACTCTGGCAAGACTGGTGTGCGCGTTGTGGGGCTCTGCTGCGGACAAACTGACAGCGACCAGTCCAAAGGTGGCGGTGGAGAGACGCCGCGACAGTCGTAAGCATAGTTCTAAATATATGGGTTGATCCTTTCATGACACAAAACCAACAGGTATTGTTTGACCAGGACGCGGGCCGCGGCTAAAGCAGTCTTGCACATGATACGCAGAGCACCCGCCGGTTCAATTTGGGTCCTGGATTCAGGAGAGTTGTTTGCAGCCCAAATACCAGATCGATCAAAAATATCAAGACTAGTCACCAAGTATGTTTGACAAACAAATGCACCGCAGTGGGAGAAACAATGAACAGTTTTTGATTCAGACAATTTCTTTATTGATGGCCGAAATGTGACATCATCTTAATCAGATAACGTCGTTGATTGATCAACACATATGCCCAACAAGTGGACTCCAGCATTACCTAAATGACAGCACTACATGGACAGATAAGAGGTACAATACTTGATTGGAAATCCCAGTGCTAATGTGCCATATGCGAGGTAGACTTATGAGTGCTCCAAGTTCAACTTCATAATACGCCAAATAGCACAAACTTCAACGCGGACAGGCTCAAAACCTTGAATTAACAATTCTCCAAAAATAGCTGACAATGAGATCACCTTCCTTTGCCCACAATTTATCAGCTGAACAATACTCCGTCACATGAATGCAAGTTAACTCTTGTACCAGAGCTAGGGCATGTCATTTCAAGAGCGTACATTCCACACACCACAGCCCAAAAATAGTTGAGGTCAGAAGGCTAATAAACATTAAAATTTAGCAGAATTACATCCACCACTCCTGACTCCTGCCAATTACAGCATAAAAAAAGCAGCCAACTAATTGCAGGCAATATTTGCACGTTGTCTAGGCACAAGTGCAAGTATGGATTATTCCTGCTAAAACAGAAAGACCACAAATTCATAATTAACACTAGATCTCGACCTTGTAACTTCACAATATAAACCTTCATTTCATTATTCCCTCCCACAAATATTCAAGACCTTCACAATGCATTAGAAAATCATAAGGTAACACATACATGTGGCACATTTCAGTCAAACTGATCCAGAAAGTCGAAGTCGATATGAAAATAAGACTTGAGATGTACAAGCACATGCTCAAGATATACTATATCTAAAAAAAGAGATACTAAACTTCCATATGCACAATTTCTAGTCCAAAGTTTACAATATTCCATCAATAATCTGATCTACAATAAAAAGGACAGGTAAGACAGCACTTTGATTAATTCTAATTCCCACTGACAATTAGAGATCAGTCACAAATTTTGAGTGAATGACAGTTACAAATGAAAGTTAGAGCTAAGAAACATGGAAGGGATTAAACAAGCATTACATGTAATGACAATTGTTCTTTTATTTAGTCTTTCATGCTAATATGTTTAATGAACTAAAGATGAGCCAAGTGCCAGTCTATAGCAAAATCTACAATTACAATAGTTCGTTTAAGTATCACACTGTGCGTCTAGCCATCACGGTTCGACATGCTGACTGGCATAAATTAATCAAAAAAAATGAAACCATTCCATTCCGATTGTCACCACTTGGGTGTCACAAAAACCATGATGCACATAAAAAAATAACAAAATATATCTACATGAAACATTCCTTGCATCTACAAGCAAAAATGTAGTCTTCATACATTCCAACAGCTATTTCCAATTTCATATAGTTCCTGTCTGGTGGTCTTAAAAAACTTCCATTTGTTAACAAAAACATAAAATTCTCCCTCTAACTCACATCAAGCACAACGTCTTTGGCCTAAATAAATTTGATCTGTACAGGGATTCTAGAATGACAGGTTTACATACAGAATTGCCCTACCTAAAGTCTTTAAATACAAATATTGATTAAAGTGCAGGTAGGCAGTTGCTAACAGATAGGCAAGGACAAAAAATTAAATACCATGCCAACAGGTACATAAACGACATCAACAACTTTTGAATGAGACGCTTCAATGAAATTTTTGTCAGGCACAAATCACACCAATATACATGAATCTTCAGATCTTTCCACAAGCCTGGACAGTCTACTGTACCTGAGACCCTCGAATTTTACCATTTTGTAATACATTACGTACTGACACCCAGGTTGACTGCTTAGACCCATAAATAAGAGGAATATCTCAAACTAAAAAACTCAAAGGAGCCGACATTAGAGGACCAACCTCACTTCTCCACTTGCACCGCCCTACTCTTCCATGATTGGATACAATTCAATTCATTCCACTTGTTGTCAATCCTGCTTACTTCATCAAGTGCACGGAAAATGTCAGTCAAATACGCAAATAAAAACATCCTTGGCCCCGTTTCCTCTTGATATGCCACCGGCAAATTAAGAAAAAAAATCCTAGTAAGCAGTCCTGGGTGCACTTGAAGGTCTTACTTCCCTGAAACAAATCAAGAACGGTTAAAAATAACCCAAGGAAAAAACCTGACGAAAAGCATCACTGTTTCATCATGCGCCTTACCTGCAGGTTGGGGTTGTACATTGGCAGGCGTTGAGTTAGGATTTCCTTGGTTTGATCGTTGGTTATAACCGCCCCTGTTTCCTCTGTAGTTTCCACGGTAGCCCCCTCGGTATTGGCCACCTCCCATACCACCGCGGTAGTAGCCTCTGCCTCGGTACGCTCCGCGCCTCGCAGAAGCAACACCAAAGGTCTCAGAGTTAAGTTTCCGCTCAACCCTCCAGTCAGTCCGTTGGGAACGTCTGCAATGTAAAAGATTTTAGAACCATGTTAAGTTATAATTCACAGAGCATACATCCATGACCAGGTAATCATGCAGTGAGGGAAGAGGAGTACTAACCCTTTACTCCGCTCCACAGCTTCACAGCTGATATTATCAAAGAAGGACTTGGCCTTATCATAGAAAGTATCATTTTCTTCTTCTGGTTCAGTGATTTCCACACCAGTTTCATTACCAGAATCGTCTTTCTTCTCACTACTAGCTTCTCCATTCACCTTGATCTGGGCCTGGTCAGCATCTACAAAAGAAATTAAGAATAATGAAAACTGAAAATCATATTAAAACATGAACACAGAAGTAAGATAAGGTCAACTTACCCAGTTTGGCCTTTGCCAGTTTGCTGCGCAGCTCTTCAAATTGGGTATTGGCCTGTTCAAAGTCATAATCTCCCTCGAACTTCAAAGTTTTCTTCTGGGCCTGTGCATTATTGCCAGCTGCAGATTGCTGCTGCTGTCCTTGTTGCTGCTGAGTCTGTTGTCCAGGGGCTCGCTGGAAGTTCTGGTTTGGCCCGCCTCGACCACGCCCTCTCGTGCGAACCATCCCCCTGTTGTTCACCCAACCCCCGCCGCCACGGTTCTGCTGGCCTCTCTGAAAGAAAAAATCAGTTAGGTAATTAACAAAAACTTGACACAACCAATGGATAAAAGAAAAATAACGACCACCTACCTGATTTCTATCATGGTAATCATTCTGCTCCCTATGCTGTTGCTGGGGATCCCTGTAATTCCGGAACTGAGGCCTCTGCTCATAATCACCACCTCGCCTGTCACGGTTTTGGTTGGGCCTTCCATCTCTGTTGGGTGGTTGCACAGCACGGTTCTGAGGTTTCTTGTCCTCCTTAGGCTGCGAGCACTGAACACCAGCATCCATGGTCGGAGACTTGCGTGCAAGTAACCCTGGTGTTGATGAGCGTGAGCCACTGATGAGATCTAGGATTAAGGGAAAGATCAATGAGAAGGTGTAAAGATGGAAGTAATAGATACAATAATTTCACTCAGAATTCAAGCAATGAGCAAGCATGTAGCACAAAACCTAAAGAAGTAAGGAAACGCAGAATTAAATAATAGCAGCAAGATAGCAAACAGTTTGTTTCTGCATGGCAGGCAAATTAATAAGCTTTGATTAAATGGCAAAATAGAGAAGAATTGGAAAGCATAAGCAAGATAAAGTACATACCAAACTCAAAGCGTGCAAAGCCATGCCAAAAACAAGACTATTTACATACCATGACTTTCTTGCTCAATAGGAGCAGAGGGTGCAGGCTGCATACTGTCACCCATTGGGAGAGGTGCAGCCAATTCACTCTGCTTGCCCAAGCGGGGATCGTAAGCCAACCCTACACCAGGGGCTATGTTGCCACCGAGACCTGACATACCGCCCATGGGTCCCATTGACTGAGGGTAGGGACCAAGTGGTCCAGGTCCCCCGATGTGTCCCAGTACAGGATGAGGGAAGGGTTGACCAGGGAAGTTGGCTGAACCACCAAGGCTTGGTGGAACTGAAAGCTGTAAATCAAATTAAAAATTTAGGCAGGTCATAGTACAAACAGTGTGGTACAGAATTAAACAATAGTGGACATGAGCAGAATGAGCACACAGTCTAATGGATAATAAGGAGCCCAGGATACTACAGGTCACAAAACCAATTAATTACCTCAGACTTTCATTTTCAATGCAGCGAAGAGTTACATGAAGCCAATCAGGAGAGAAAAAAACACATCATTAATATTCAATGATCTAAGAGGAGGATAAAGATACACCGCAGCCCTTACAGGATGACAGAACAAAGTTCCAAACTAAAGTCAAAAAGACACCAAGGAGATCAACAAAACAATTACAATAAGTTCCCAATTTCATCATTTGTATGATGGCAAATTTCCCGTTTCTGAAGAGAGTAGTGATATAAAGGTTAAGTATAGCGAGAATAAGGAATGTGGATTGAAGATTGTGAATATCTAGCCATTGATGAATGGGAATGCGAATTTGGGAACATTAAGGTTGGCAAGATACAGGTTCCAACTATGCCTTACATGAAGGATGGAAGCAAAAGGTGATTGATAGTGTATCTTACCTGGACGATGGCAGGATCATTGAGAGGCTGAGTATTCACTACTCTGATGTCCTTAATGTCTGATCCTCTGAAGAGGATATAATCGTAGACCTGATTCTGAGCAGGAACTGGGTACTTCGTCTCTCTTTCCTCAGTTCCAAAGGAGCGAACTGATGACAAAACAATACCATTAGGATATGAAAAAAATTAAAACTGAAAACTCCACAGTAAATGGAGAGTTTTATCAAACTGCAGCGCACCGAAACGGTAACTAGTCGAGAGACCAAGACGAACGCGTACAGAACTTCAAATAAAGAAAGAGTGAAGAGAAGGGGGGAGGGGGGGGGGATGCAATAGAAAGCAAAAGAGGTTAACCTGAAAATGTCGCGGTGAAGGACGGAATATATGCACAAATCCACGAGGTAGGGAAATGAAAAGTTAAACGAAGCTGAGCTTTCTTAACGAGTTGAAGGAGATAACGGACCAGTGTAAAAGGAACACAAACAACAGCGGCTCCATTTGACAGAAGCCGAGCCTAGGCTTACGCCGGAATGAAATACTGAGGACGTCTATCACATATTACATAAAACAACATAAGGCGCAAGTCCCCTCAAGCATAATGCATCTCTCGACTCATAAATCTGAACTAAGAACGAGAATTTTAAAAATAAATTTTACGATCCCAAATACGAGAAACTTACCGCTAGCCAGCGCAATAGTACATTCCTGGGGGTCCACGGTAAATAGACGGCCTTCATAACGAATATCAGCTTTCGATATTAAGCTGATTTTACTGCCCAGCTCGGGCATACCCGAATTCATCTTGATGAAACTTTATTTAACGCAGGATTCCTCTAATGTCGGCGGATAACACCTCTCGTCTACATTCGACCTGAACTTCTCGCCGATGCCGATGTCACAAGCGAATGAACGAAAAGCCACGCAGCGTTGCCGGTTTTGAGTGTTTTCTTCCTGTAGCTTTTTCTTCGTGTTCTTCTTTTACCAAAAGAAACATTTACACTCAAGGCAGCGATACTAATTTTTGATTCGAAATCAACTTGCATTTCACTTTTGGAACCTAATAATGAATGCAGTTGTCGGATTTAGAGACCACTTTATTGTTTTATTCTGCTGCACCTCCATTGATTTCAATGAAATATCGGAAGTAGGGGTACACACTACAAGCGGGATATTTGAATTAGCTTTTCTTCACAACATCAGGTTATCGATGAAGTTTCTGAGAAACTCTTGAATCTAAATTCTGAAGGAACCAAAAGTACGCAGGGAATCACTCAAAGTTATGAATAAAACCGTAGTGACGCAAACTTGCTTTATTCAATGTCGGTGACCGCCGAAGGGGACCAGGGCCATACAACGTATGTAAGTATAACCGGCAACGCCGCGTATGTGGAGACTCCCAACATCAAACGAGTGCTCCACTGCGAAGTGCTACTTTCGCCCACATCTCGTCATTTCTTCCCCGTTTTCACGCCTTGGCATCTTTACTATTGAATGTAATAAGATTTTAGAATGGATTTACTATCTGATGATTGTCAACGTTTGATATCGCCACAAATTTTGTGTACTTGCCTCTTGATCATAATTTGACCCTTCTGTCTGCAACCTCTGTTCAAGATGGCGGCGTGTATGAGGCGAATTTGCGGAGCTGGACTGTTAAAATCTAATCATGGAATCGTTTTGCAACAGGTAAACTACAAGTTACCTACTTATTTTACTATTTCGTTTCATGCTATTCAACTTGGTGGATTTTGAACGGGTTTCCTCGATTGTTTACCACGAAACACCCCTATCCCCCCGACCTCTCATCTGTCGGAAGACTTTTGTAGTTTCACGTAATTACTACGAAATCTTGTTTGAAATAACATCTCTTTGTATTTAGAACTTCAGTTTTCCTCTCTGGCATGTCGTTAGTTCATTTTCCATGTCTGGCAGTTCCTACATAGTGTGCATAGCATCATCTCAATAGTGTTGTCTGCATCTCAGGTATCCAGGAGGTCAAAGTATAGGTTAGGTTTGTCCACCAGATTTAGCAGAAAAATAAGACAGACCCTACTCCTTGGCTTGAATTTGACTGTCTCAGTCTTTGAGTTATATTGATATGTATTTAACTTCAGTAACTCAGAGAAATTTTTATTTTTTGTACAATTTAGTTCCGAAAAGGTTATGTGCCTTGGCTCCATTTGTCCTTCATTCCTGATCAACTGAGAATCTTATTTTCTCCCCTGTGAGGCAACTGTATTCCTTGCTTTCACAAATGTTTTGACTTATTTCCCCTACTGTATTGATCAATTGTCCTGTTTCAAGGTAGTTTGATAGAATGAAGAGTTTCTTGTGTAGCCTAGTGACTCTGAAATTGACAACACTTCTATCTTAAGGATGGTTTTCTATTTGCCCAAATTAACTCAATTATAATATTTCATTTTCTCTTTTCAGGCTAATAAATATTCTTCTAGCAGCACCTGGACTAAGAGCCAGAAAGCGGTAAAAGCCTACTTCATTCAAACTTCAAGATATGCTTGATGCATTCGTTAAGCTAATGCCCTTCTAATTTTCTGTTAAATTATGCAGTTGTGCACGTCAGCTGGAGTGCTGGCGGGTGGTGTAGCAGCTCTTTGGTACACTCTGGACCGCTCTGTCCAAGCAAAGGATCTTATCCTTCATCCTCCTGAGCAGGATTGGCCACACAAGGGACTTCTGGGGTCTTTTGACCATGCAAGGTACGTCATGAATTCATTTAATTATTTTTTTCTGTTATTCTTAACGATGAAGAAACTCTGTCTGATAATGTTTTAATTGTGAAGCTTGCGCCGTGGGTATGAAGTCTACAAGCAAGTTTGTGCTGCTTGCCATAGCATGCAATACGTCCGCTACAGAGAATTGATTGGTGTCACACACACAGAAGAAGAAGTCAAGGCAGAGGCTGCTGAAATCATGGTGACTATACTTAATGCTGTGTACCTTTTATTTAACTCTTTAGACTCTTTCCAACTTTGGTATTTATTTTTTAAAGGTTGAAGATGGTCCTGATGACACTGGTGCAATGTTCAAGAGGCCTGGCAAACCAGCTGATCGTTTCCCAAGCCCATACCCCAATGAAAATGCTGCCCGTGCTGCTAACAATGGAGCCTACCCTCCTGATCTTTCCCTTATTGCTGCTGCTCGCCATGGAGGAGAGGTTCTGTGTAATTTCTTTCTTATGAAATAGTGTGCCAATATTGTGACTCTCTCACTAATTAAAGAAATTCATTTTCAGGATTACCTCTTCTCTCTTCTGACGGGTTACTGTGAAGCTCCTGCTGGGGTGGTTCTGCAAGAAGGCCAGCACTTTAACCCTTACTTCATGGGTGGTGCTATTGGTATGGCACAGGCTATTTACTCAGAGGTAATTCATTTCGTTCTTTCTGAATACTGTATGTCTTTGTAGGAAATTATTCTTGTTCGAGAGTATGTGTTAATTTTGTTAATCTCTGTTTGTAGTCTGCCGAGTTTGGTGATGGCACACCTGCCTCTGCCAGTCAAATTGCAAAGGATGTTTCTGCATTCCTGAGGTGGTGTTCAGAGCCTGAACATGATCAACGCAAAAAGACAGGCCTGAAGGTGAGTAGATTTCCATTTTCTTGTACACTTTGACATATTTTTAACATCTGAAATGCTGATGCTGATTGTTCTGTCTATTAGGCACTACTTATGCTCGCTGCCTTCACTGCTATAAGTATTTACTGGAAGAGGCACTCATGGTCATCACTGAAGAGCACTAAGATTCTGTATGTACCAAGGAAGAAGTTGTAAAAATGTAGGCCAAACTAGCAAAATGATTCACAATGTAGGAATTGTCCCACTCCAGATCATTGTGTAGTTATTACAATTTAAAATGTGATGTTTGCTGGCTACTCTGTCACATTATTTTAAAAGCAAACTGGGACAAACACAGCAGGTTCTGTTTGTAAACCCATTCATTTGTGAAGGAAAGTGGAACAGTTTCATTTTTAAAAATTTGAATTTAATGATTTGTAATTATTTGAGTCCTTTGAAATTGTCATGTTTTAATTGGAATACTCATGTGTACTGTTCAATGAAAAGGAGATGTTATGACAGGCATAAAAATACTCTTGTCTGTGTTAATTGCTACTGTTGTGTATCAGTTTTTCATTTATTAAAATATGTGCTACAAGCTACTTCTTTATTAGCAAACATTTCTTTGACAACACTTGTGACCCTCAGACTTGGGTATGCACTCTTGTAAAATATCATGTATTATTGCATTTTGCTGAGCCTGTAAAGAGTTTTAATTGTAAATCTGGTCTATTAAATCACTTAAAATACCAGTTCAGGAGAGGACTGAATGAGATATATTGAACATCAATTTGTTATCAGCACATTTTTAATTTGAAACCTTGACCTACTGTTGCTCCATACTACAATTATTTGTGCAATAGCCCACAAGTATGTATGCAATTATATAAGCCAACGAAGCATTTTTATCTTGGCAACTAATCTTGTTGGCAGCCTGCGGGAGAACTAATGTTGGCACTGTTGGCAGAACTGGCGGTGGCCGTTGTCGTCTGCTGGCGCGAGCGGGTGTCTCTTGCAACTATTCAGAATTGCTGTGAACACAGTGTTCTGTCTTGAATGACGGTGTCTCTGACATCCAGATCAATTGTTAGGCAAATGTCGAAAGGTGTAAAACGTGAGTGCGAGGATGAGGCTGGAAACAAGGCCAAGAAGCCTGGCATTGGGCATTGGGCGAACGGATTGATTACAGCAATGGAGGACCCTAACCTTAAGGTGCTTGATGATGATCAGGTTGTTGTTATCAAAGACAAGTATCCTAAAGCAAAGTTCCATTTCCTCATATTACCAAAAATACCAATTCCGAACCTTAAAGCCCTTACCGACAACCATTTGGATTTACTGCAACATATGCATGAAGTAGGATGCAAAATTTCTCAAGAAAATCAACATGCTAAGCATAAATTCAGGTAAAGTACTGTGACACCAATGTTAATGTTACTGTTCTCTTGCGTAATCATTTAAGACTTTTAGATTTCCTTAGCAGACTCGGATATCATGCTGAACCAAGCATGAATCACTTACATCTACATGTGATCAGTGATGATTTTTGCTCTGATTCTTTAAAGACCAAGAAACACTACAATTCATTCACCACTGATCATTTTATGAACTCTGCAAGTAGGTTGATTGAAAATGCCTTTGCTGTTTTGACTTGTTATATTTTCACTAATTTTGTGACTCAACATTACAGAGGTGATGGATTGTCTAAAGAAAACAGGCAAAGTAACAACACCATCTCGAGGTGATTGTGAAAAGTTCTTAAAGCAACCCTTGGTTTGTTTTAAGTGTGGCGAGAATATGGCAACCATGCCAAAATTAAAAGAACATCTCAAGTCTCATGTGTGAATCTGTGTTAATTTAAAATTAAATGAAATATATGTGTAATGAATGTCCAATAGCTGAACTGTGTCAGGTATTTTCAACACCAAAAGTTCCACAACTAAAGCAAAGTTGTATTCATAGAAAGTTTGGTAGTTATCTGGGCATAGGATAAAAATAATATAGCTTTTTTTAAGATTTAACACCTACCACTTTCTCATTTAATCAAACTTCTCATTATAAATAACAATTACATAATTGAATTTATTACAAGCCACATGTGATAAACAAGTGTAGCTACTTATAATATGGTAACAGCACAAAACAAGCAAATATGTTAATAATTAACCTGAATAAATTATTGATCAAGTTACAATTAAGGAAATAAATTAATTTACAACAATGCAATTACATGGCAAATCAACAATAACATTTACTGACAAAATATTTAATAATACTGATATAAATTGGCTAGTAAGATTGTATTGGTCTTTTATAAAAAAAAGGGGAGGAGTTGGGGGACCCAGGGGACCGCAGCAAAACTTTGGGAAGCAAAAAATCAATTTGTTTTTGCTCAATGATTCAACAAACAGCATGTAAACCTATGTATATATGAATGTATATAGGACAGGAGAGAAAAGAAAATAATGTTTAAGTACATTAGCAAACAATCTAGTCTTGAATTTTAGCTTCAGAAATTTAAGCTACATTTCAAATTTTCAATTTAACAAATGCCGGGAATATACATAGGTTTATAATAACCAATTAAAATAAAATATCACTCATTTTAAAACAGTCCGTGGTATTGGTATACCTAGCTAATATTCATAAAGAACTGTTGGCAACAAATTTTCCTAAGCAGATCCTGCTGCTGCAGTCATTTTCATGAATCTACACCATATGTACTAATTCGTACATCCTCTATTGCTTTACACCACTCTAAGGCATACCCTTCGGGTTCTTCCAAATAGTATGTTCTGTTAGGCTGGAAAATAAAAAATAGGAAACAATGAGAACCAGTAAGTTATACAATCAAGTGTGAAATCAGGGAAAAGGTTCTGTGAGCATTTCTGAAGTGGAATGGTTTGTGATACTTACAGTGTGTACAAAGAAGATTTTGAAATTCTTGGGTTCTACTCTAAGCTCTTTACTCCAAGGAATTTCACCCTTAAGAACCATATTAACAGGGTCAACATAATACAAGTGTGGGCCCTGCGTAAGAAGTAGCATTCTTCGGCGAGCAAATAAGCCCTGAAAATGAAAAAACAGCAGCCAATTAGAATTTTTACAAACATAGGTATACCACAAAGCAAAATTTCAACTGATTAACAGTACAGGGATCCTACCTTTCGTTTGTCAACCAGGCCTTGCTTTAAAATTAAGTTGTTTTCTGTAAATTGATGCCACTGATTCTCTTTCATTTGTTTCTCTAATCTCTGTGCAATATCTTCAGGTGAAAGTTCTTGTAATGAAATGTGCCTTTTTCTTGGTGCAATAGAAACTTTTTTCTCACGGCTAATTTTTCTTTGAGGTTCATTGACTACTGGGGCACTAGTGGGTTCTGGAGATGATTTACGAGGTTCAGGTTCTGAACCACTACTATTATTTTGAAGTTCTAGCCCTAATAATCTTGTTAATTGTCTATCATCAAGACCAGGTTCTAAATGATCAGGTACCTGTAAAATTTATGAAGCATCTTAATTAAAAAGCCCAAATACATTTCCATAGATGATTGATATATGTTCATGTACTGTAGTAATGATAAGATCAAAATAAAAGAGGCACACGACACTTACCCTATAGTGACTTCTCAGTTCTTCATGCTCCGATGTCCCAGGTAAGTATGGGTAGATAGGAGGCGGGTTGGTTTCACTGAGCTTTCTAAAATCTATTCCTTGGAAAAATGGATGTGCCCGTATTGATGGGTACCCCTCACCAGGAGGGTCATTGGCACCTAATCTTTGCTTGGGATCCAGAACCTGATAATATTAAAAATATGATTAGAGTTAATGTTCTCAGGTATACTACTGGAAGAGGATAGAAAGTAGCCAACTCGCTTACCAGTAATTTTTCAACAAGGTCACGTGCACTAGGTGAGAAGCCATCAGGAAATTCATATTCTAGCTTAAGAATTTTTTGAAAAATAAGGTATTCTGATCTTGCCCAGAAAGGCGGAAGACCAGCAACCATTTGATAAATAATACATCCAAGGGCCCACAGGTCTGATGAGTGTGATGCTGATTTGTCAGTAAGCAGTTCAGGTGAAACATACTGGGCTGTACCAACAAAACTATTTCTTCTCTGTCTCATAGAATTTTCTTCTTCATCAGATTCCTTCTCACTTTCATTGAACATCTTGGCTGAGCCAAAGTCTGTGATGAGAATGTGCATATTTTCATCCAAGAGAATGTTTTCTGGTTTAAGGTCCCTGCAACAGGAAAGATATGAATGAAAATTTTATTCAACTTAATTAAAATTAGCAGTCTAATTTAACTGCAAGTGGTACACACCTGTGAATTACCCCTAAGCTATGTACATGGCCAAGAGCAACTAAAATTTCTGCTGCATAAAACCTTGTACATTCAATATCAAATGACCCTACTTTATTGATGTAGGGTAAAAGTTCTCCTCTCTTCGCAAATGACAAAACAAAATAAAGGCGATCTGTATCTTGAAATGTGCAAAACAATTTCACAAAGAAAGGGGCTGCAGGACTTTGGTTTGAGCCCAGGCGATTTAACACTTCCTTCTCTCGCTTTATATATTCAGTCTTTTTCTCACGGATAATGTGACGCTTGTCACATACTTTTACTGTAAACAAAACAAAAAAAAGAGCACAGTTAAGTACAGAGAGAATACGAATTTAAAGTTGTTTCAAACGATGTACGAGTAAAGCCACTTACTTGCATATTCTTTATTGGTATGAATGTCTTTGGCTAAATAGACCACAGAGAAGCTGCCCTCCCCGATGACTTTCCCAAAGATGAAATCCTTGGGGGTGCGCTTCAGTGCCGCCTGCGCAGCTTGGCTGGCGGGGGTGGGCTGCCCGTTGGCCTGCACATTGCTATGCCCGTTCCGCGGGCTGGGCCGGGCCTGGCGCTGGTGCATCCCGGGCCGCGCGGCGGTCGGGGCCGCGGTGGGGCTGACCGCGGGGGGCAGGTCCGCGGGGGCGGGCGCGGGCGTGGCCGGCGACACCGCCTCCTCCGTCCTGGGCGGCGGCTGCGCCCTCTCCAGGGCTCCCGTCGGCCCGCGAGGGGGAGTCATCGTGATGGCTATCAGCGGCACCAACATGCGGTCAGCCGGGGGCGCCGGGGGCTGCGTCGACACGTGAGACGCGGGGGCGGCCGTGGCAGGGGCCGGCGGGCTGCTGGGCGGCTGCGGGGGCTGCTGCGGCAGCGGCGGTGGCGCCGGCGGAGCGGTCTGCTGCTGGATCGCGACCACGTGCTGGAAAACAAAGCAGTACAAACCAGGTGAGAAACGCACCACAATAACACATGCAAGCTCACGCGTAACCCTCCCCCGGGTCGGGCTGCGCGGCGGGGACCGACCGACCGACCACATTTCACTCGCAACCGGATTCGGCCGGTGCGGGGCGGGACGAAAAACACACCAGTGACGCAGCAGGTGTGACACGGATGTGAGCGCGCCGGGGTCCTCGGCTTGTCCAGGAGGAGAGTCATTCAATCATTCATTCATTTGCAGACTGGATGCAGCACAACGGGACGGGACGCGCTGCAGCTCCACGTCTCGTCCAGCCTGTGCCTGTCCAGCGCTGTGGACTGGAATGCACCGGCTGGGCCGCGCCGGCGGCAGCGCTGGCTGGGGAGGGGAGGGAGGGGTGTGGCACCTGCTGCTACCGATCGCATTCCAGGCCGCGCCACATTCTGTAGGCGCGGGGCTGCGGGGCCCCGGCGCCCCCCGCGGCGGAATTTCGCGTGCGAAAAGCCTGGCGCAGCAAGTCAAGCCGCGCCGCGCCGAGTTGCGCCGTCGCGGACACCGGCAAGGGTCGAGGCCAGCCTGGCGGGCCCGCAGCCGACGGCGGCAGCGGCGGCAGACAGCCGGACGGGCCTAACCTACATTGGCGCCCGCCCCGCCCCCACCCAACTGCGGGAAAGTGACCGCGCCCGCCCACCCTGCGATCTCTACTCTACCAAGGCGGTGCAAACTCGCAAGGGATTAACGCCCGCTATAGACAAGCACCCCCGCAGAGCGCCGCTGCTGCTTCTCAGCTCGTTAGGAAGTTCCTCAGGTAGAGAGTTGGGCTTTTAAAAGCCCCTCACACGCGAGCCAGCCATCTCGACCGTTTCCGATCGTTTTTTTCCCGTTTTATTACTTTTTCATCTCCCCTCCCGCGCCGCCTCATTTGAAATCAGAACAGTTTGCCGCGGGCCGCAACGGCCGCAACAGCAGCTGCCTCGGCCGCCTCCCTTTGAATGGCAAATGGCGACGGCGGCGGCGGCCTCGTCCGTCTGCTGAATATTATCATTCAAACGGCTCGATTCCCCGACGCACGAGCACATCAGAAAAAGTGCGGAATTCAATGAGGGAGAGAAAACGGCCCGAGAGTCAGACGAGACGCACCTGACTCCCAGCAGCGGCAGGAAGGACGCGCAAAACTCTCCCCTCCCCCTTTGCCACGCCATCAGCTGATTGATGCACTCGCAGTCATTCATTCCCCCCTCCACAATTACTACACCGCCACTTCCACCTCCGTTGCGCGGCTGCATACGGCGTCGGTAAGAGGGGCGGGTGGGGGAGTGGGGGGTAGGAGCGTCACACATTTTCCAGGGGCCGAATCGCCGCGAGGAGCGCCAGGCCAGAGGCGCAGGCGGGGCCGGGGAAGGTGCGGGAAGGTGCATCACTCGGTGCAATGTGGGGCAGGTTAAGAGCGCCAACATTCGCCTGCATGCCTCTGGTCGTGTCGACTTTTGAAGGCCCATAGGAAGTGGCCCCAAGCCCCAGCCTGGGCCCAGAACTGGACCGGAGGTCAGCGACGGGTTTGCCGCTGCCTAGGAAGGAAGTCGGGCCGGCGCGTGTCGGCAGCAGCGACACACGTCACCTCGCGTCGCTTTAAATGGCGGCGCGATAAAACTCCACGCGCGGCTCCTCTTCTGGCTCGCACCGCCGCTAGCGGAACACACAGGGGGACTTTGGGCAAAGTCGACTTTGAGGTTCGGCGCACAGGAAGGACTTTTTGAGGAAAGAGGACTTAGCTGCCTTCACCTTGATTTGAGCCACTCGGCACGAAGCCTCTACGTACTTTCAGCAACCAGAGGCGAGGGCGCCGTCCTTGGAGCAAATAATCCACAAATCCAATTGCCGATACGGCGGAGGCCGCACCCCCCACAGTCGGGACAGTCAGAGAGTGGACAGCCGGGGCTCTAGCCGGGGCTCTAGGCGGGGCTGGGCGTAGTCCGCGGCACTCAGTTCGAGGTCATGGAAGCCGCCGCGCCGGCAGCTCGGCGCGGCTCGGCTCGGCCGCCGCGCGTCCGCCCAGCTGATCAAGGCGTGGGGCCTTCCCTCTGCCAAAGCTTGCGGGGCTTGCGCCACGCCGCGCCGTCCTGCTGCGTGGCGCGGCCCGGCTGGGGCCCGGCTCGGCTCGCCTTGACACTCAATAACATAATCATATCTAATTTACGTAACGCTAACGCCGTCCAGGCGGACGACAAGGCAGGGCGGCCGGCAGCGCAGTAGTCCAGTTACATAACGAGGTGGCAGGGCGGGCAGGGCGGGCAGGGCGCGCAGGGCGGGCAGCAGGACCCGCAGCCACAGGGCGAGTAAGGGCGCAGGGTCGAAGTAGCGGTAGGGTGCACACCGCCATCGATCGCAGCAGGCCAGGGCAAGGCGGGCGGGCCCGGCCCTGCCCTGCCCACAGCCCAGGCCGACCCCCGGCCCACCCGCGCCGCGACCCTCCCCCTTGCAGGGGTGACAGACTAACCTACATTCTCCAGCAGAGCACGGCCAGAGTCGTGCGCTGGCTGCGCTACGCGTGCGCTGCGCGTGCCGCGGAGACGGCCTTCTCCTCAGGCACCTGCTCACGGGAACCGCACTGACAATTATTCCGAAACACTGGGGCCTGAAGCGCGACAGTCGCTCGCTCGCTCACGCGGCTCGGTGCCGCGACGATAGCCAAGGCTGGATGGGCTCGGGCCGTTGGAGCTGCTCGGGCAGGCTCTGGTACCGTGTCGCGGCGGAGGTTACCGTCTGACTGAGAGCGGAGCGGAGCGCGGAGCGGGGCCCCCGCGCGGGGCAGGCCCATCCGTGGGGCTCTGCTGCCGGCTGCGGGCGC